AGAAACTATCTTATGAGCATGTGGAGTTACACATTGATCAACATCACCAAGTGGTTTTGAATGTAGCTACTGTCAAGCATCGTCGTATGTTTAAGGTAATTACTGTCTCTTATACACATCTAGATGTGTATAAGAGACAGGCTTACCATTTGCCAGGAGCAACGCTTCCAACATCATGAACCAAATTTTAAAGTTTGCAAAGCAGATGGTTAGAAAACTACCATTGAAATGGTTGCGTGTTCAACAGGAAATTCAGAAGTTGAAGGTGAAAATCTATTTACCAACCAATGAGGTAGGCATCTATTGAACATTCTCAAAGTTCAGTTTGAGTTAGACTACTAGTCAAATCATACTCAAACCAAGGAAATACCTCCTTGCTCAAAAATCCAGAATAATCCATCAATTCTCTGCACAAAAAAATGACTATTATTGTTGCCATTGCTATGAGAATATACAGCTGTATCTACCAGTATTCCACCCTTCTTTAAAACGATTTGGTTATGTTTTTGGGATTTTATTGCTTTAACAGGTGATTGCTTTGGTTGAGCGGTGTGGGGTGAAACAAGCTACTCAAAGAGTGCTACTTGAGTATTTACATGACCTTGGCGAGATTCTCTACTTTCCTGATGACGACGCTCTAAAGGACATCATTGTTTTAGATCTGATGAAAATAGTCGACATGTTTAAAACAATAATAACCGTTATTGAGCCTAAACTTAGGGTAAGCTCAACTGCACACATTTACATATTATTTTGTGAAGTACATTTTTTTATATAAGAACCAGTAAAGTTTTGCCCAGGCTCAGTGTGCTAATTATTTTTTTGGCCAATTTCAGGCTAAAATTGTTCATATTTTGTTCTTATTTTACACTTTTCAACGATTGAAAATTATTGTTGTACAGAGTGTACTCTTAAATCCATTTTAGCCTCCTTGTTATTACAACAAAAATGTAGGTAGATTCCCTTGTTTCAGATACTTTCTGTAATAAAAGCGTAGCACAAGCCTAAGTTAATATGATTAAATTTCAGAAACCAAAGCACAGAGAGGCCTGGAGGAGGTTGGACTCAGGGATCTTAGAGGAGCATCTTTTGAGACACCTCTGGAAGGAGTTCAGTTTTTCAGATAAGATGTTTGACTTCTTCGTATCTCTCATGCAGAAGTTTGGACTGGTGTGCGAAAGAAAGGTACACTAGTATTTTTGAATATTATTTTTATTTTTCTATCGGTGGTCTAGTGGTTAAGATATCAGGCTAGATACCTGGAGGTTGTGGTTTCTAAACATCACTCCTATGTTTATAATATTCTCTTTTTACAATTTTTTGCTACCTACAATACTTTCAGTTTTTTCAGGGTGGTGAACGTATTTTCTACGTTCTGTCACGCTTGAAGCCTAAATGTGTAAAGACATCGCCCCCGGATTATGGGAACCGGGCAGTTTCAATCTTTCATGACTTTCGTGGCTATCTACCTGACGATCTTTTCCAGCGTGGAGTAACTAAGTTTATTGAGAAATTCCAAGTAGAACACAATGAAGAACCTAAGCTATCTTATGAGCATGTGGAGTTGCACATTGATCCACATCACCAAGTGGTTCTGAATGTAGCTACTGTCAAGCATCGTCGTATGTTTAAGGTAATTAGGTCTATGTATCATAATATTACTTATGTTATTTAATAGTATTTATATTTGGCCTACTTTGAATATAAATAGTAAGTTTATACATACCGGTAATGATATAATACGGAATGGGTCTAAAATATCCAAATTTGACATGATCATAGAAAATGAATCTTGTTTTTCTTGTATAGTACTTACACATTCAAATTGTATACAGATGCCACAATTAATGAATTATTGCAGTAGTCATCAATACATTATTCATCATGTCAATCAGTTTTAATAGATTGTATCTTCCTTGCAATTTTGTTGAATATTTTCTTGTCTTACAATTTATTAATATCATCATCATCAATACTAAAAATATTATTATCAGTGCCACTAACATAAACATCACAATGTTATCATCATTATTTGCACTAGTATTATTATTACCACTATCTTAAATACCACGACCATTATCATAGCTAACTATCACCATTAAACATATATATAAATATATACTACTGAATATAAAAGAAATACAGTTTCGCTTTTTGAAATAAGTACATAAATACAATGTAACAAAGAGAACCACAAACTATAGCAGTTGAGTATCAAAATTCAATTCAAGTTTAAATTCATAAGACATTTCTTTTCTCATTTTTGTTTTGCAGACAACTATCATCAGACTAAAAATAATGAATCCCACTCAGCTTACCAAGGAAGATGAGCCCTCACCGACAGTGTGTAAAGAGGTACTGCCTTCATTGAATTGAGTGACTATACTTAATATGTTTTAACCATTTTCTTCATTTTAAAACACATTCACTTTTTGTTTGTTTGACTCTAATGGCTGCCCACACTATTCTTCATTCTAAAACACGTTCATTTCATTGAACATACATATGTATTTAACTCAGTTTTTCATCTGCTTCAGGTGTTGAGTTTCCTGGAAACTGAACTAAAGATATTCTGTCAGAGTGGTGCACGAGGCATTGAATTGACGAGGTACATTGCTTGCGAATGTAGCGACGCCCACATGCATATCGTGCGCAAGTTTAATAAGGATGTGCTGCCATGTGAGAGTAATGGATTGGAAGTGACACGCTACCGCCGACTATTTGGAGATGACGTTCCACGATTGCAAGGTAAATCACCGCTATTCCTTCATGTCTGCTTTAATGGTAAATCTAGAATCAAATCATTCGAAAACACTAAACCTAATTCATAATCTAAAAATTATGAAAACTTATTTGTATAATAAATACGGTATCTTCACAAAATATCAACTCGTTGATCCGACCGAAAACTAATCCTTTTAAACCCTGCTATGAAATAAAACAACATGAAATCGAAAAAGAGGTCTTGTGTTATCAAAGATATTGTTTTACCTTGATTTATTATTTCTTGATTTTTTAGATCATTCACAGTATCAAGAAATTGTACATATACACAATGGTAGGTTTATGGATTTTTGTGTAAATTAAAAATAATGGATCACATACAGTACTTTGTAAAATAGTAAACACACATCTTCACAAGTGATGTAAGATGGTGCTAGTATTATTGAGAAATAAAATATTAAAACAAATCACTTATGAAATATATTTGTACTCTGATGAAGTGTTTTAAAACATGGTATGATTTTTTCACATTATCTTAAAAAATATTTTTTATGTTGTGTTGAGATTCATTTAAAAAAAATTTTTAAACACTTTCTTTTCAATGGAGTTTTGGGACAATCACGTTTTCTTTTATGTTAGGTTTTGTGGATGACCTCACCGTTACAAAAGTATCTGAGAAAATGGATCTCAGCTGGAGAAGGTTTGGAGTCCGTTTGGGACTTGAGTGGTCGAAAGTGAACAAGTTCAATGCTGATGATACGCAGACTTATAAGGCTACCGAAAATATGATGAATTACTGGAGGAGCAGCCTCAGCAGTGATATTCATCAATGTAAAGTGTTGTGCACTGCTCTGAAACAACATAAGTTCAGGAAACTAGCTGAAGAATTATTTGAGAGTGAAATTGGCAATGAAATTCTTGACACTCAGGAAGCAGGTAAGTACCTCAAGGAGTTCAAAAATCGTATTGGAAACCCTTTTTTTCCCTACAGCTTGTTTCTATTTTGTTGACACATAAACTAACACATAGTAACAACAGATGTCAGTTACAATTGTTTTTTATTCATTGCATATCATCTATGTTTTCTAATTAGGAAAATGTTTTAATGATCAAGATTTGCTGTTCATCTGTGACAAACTGGATCCCGAATCATGGAGGAGACTGGGAGTGCGTCTTGGACTTAAGTGGACCGATATAAAAAAGATAGCAAAAAACAACAGACTGGTTGAAGACCGCATCATGGAATTGCTGGTTACTTGGAGGGTTGACCAATCTAAGAGCCAACAAGTACCAATCATGGTGAACGCTTTGAGACAACAGAAGCTTGTTGAACTTGCACAAAGTGTACGTGAAAGGCATGGCTACAGTGACGAGTCAGAAGTTGCACCAACTCATATAAATCTGCCGCAAATTCCAACGCAAGGGCAAGGTTAGAGAAAATCTGTTGCCGTTTTGCACTTCCTGAGAAACATTACATCCCTTGCATCACGTTATGTGGTCCAGTGGCTCCGCCAGTGGGGGACATTTCCCCTTCCCCGTTTGGACAGGCCTAGACCCCTTGTCGTCCGACGAATGACTAGGTCGTCAAATAAAAAATCAAAAATAGTAATTTTTGCCTATCCAGATAACATTATAGTGCATTAAGTGTAGCCTGGATTCAAGGCCATAAATGTGGGTTACTCAATATCTATTGTGCAAGGTTAGTGAAAATCTAATACAAAAATACTGCTATTCTCTAAACGTATTACCATTTTCACACATCCTGAAAAAAATTGCTAGCACGATCCCGATGCATCACGTTTTATGCTGTTTTATGCAAATAAATATATTCCAACATTATATTCTCCTAACTTGGTCACTTTACACACTTGCATGATCACTATACCCCTCAAATTGATTTGATCTACAAACTTGACGCCTGTTATAATATAGTTGAGAACTCCTTGTACACTTAGTGTGTCCCCAAATACTTGTGAGGAAAACTCTTGCAAGTAATTCAGGTGGGAATCAAATCCATGACATCCTGGTATCATAACCATTAGACCACTGATGTTTCGCTTATTATCTGTATGATTGTTAATTAGAAAACTATTTTGATGATAAAGGTTTGCTGTTCATTTTATGAATATCGTAATAAATATTATAAGTCAATCGTGATGTCATCATGGCAGCTCCCAATGTTATTTGCCTATCCCCCACATTCCACTAATTTTTTTAATTAGTGGACGCTTGACTTGATTTATAATAGATTCGTGTGCAAAAGAAATATCGTGAAGATATCACACACTGCGATGAAAATTGAATTAAATGATAATTACTTTTGTGAAACAAGGCTAATACTTCAAATTCAATATTAAGTATGATCAATTAAAGAATTCCTTGAATCAATGAACCCCAATAAACTGAATATTTAATAGAAATATTCTAGACCTATTTTAAAGACTCAAGGTACAAAATTAGAGGCCTTTGGCCAGGTAGGAGTCCTCCGAGGCCTCTCCTACTACTAGTACCTAAGATAATAAATAGCAGAAGATAGAGCAGCTCCACAATATAGCGGAACATCTGTTTGCAATGCATTGTGAGTTCATGGAGAGCAATTTTAACCCGTCCATGCTGCGGCGCTATATATTAATAATAAAGGCGCTTGCTTCCTGTAGTTTCTCCACTTTGTCAAATTTTACCCCGCTCGCGGGAGGGCGGATATTCCATCAATTTTAATGGAAATACACATAACAGCTATTCTTCTGCTATGTAATTTCTTCGCTAGTACTGGCCTAGGCCGTAGCCTAGCGTAGTTATGAAATCATCGTACAATTTTTACCTGTCTGCACCAACCAAACGTCAGTGACTATGCTATTTTGTATCATTACAAGCAAGTTCTTTTAATCAGTGGCATAGCCGTGGAGGTAGGGGGGCAAGGTCCCCCAGATTTTGGCCTGGCCT